AAATAGAAAGACAATTTCCACTCAAGTAGGCATTTGCCAAGTTAGAAGGGAATTAATTCCAGGCAGAAGAACAATAAAACCATGAAAAATGATAGGCTGAGTCAGTGCTGAGAACAGTCAGAGGAAAATTTTTAAACAGTCCATGTAAGAGTTAATCAGTAGTCTTAAGGATAGGTGAAAAAAGAAAATAAATACTGGTGGATTTAAGAGAATCTGTGCAAAACAAAAAAACGTGATGTAATTGGGCTGGATTAGGTTAAGTACAGGGCAAAGACAAGACAAACCAAAAGAGAAGGGATCTTTGAAGGTGTGCCCATGGAAACAGGAGAAACCAAAAAAATTCTTCAAGGGCCATACTCAGCCAGGCTAAGCCACAGCCATGTCCAATCATCCTTCCCAATGTATGCTGTTGTTGCGTGCCACTGAGCCAATTCCGACTCATAGCAACCCATTTCACAAAGCAGTACCGCTCCAAAGGGTTTTCTAGGCTGCAGTCTTTACAGAAGCAAGTTGCCAGGTCTTTTCTGCCACGGAGTGGCTGGGTGGGTTTGAACCGCCCACCTTTTGGTTAGCGGCCGAGTGATTAACCATTGCACAACCAGGGCTCCTACTCCTGAATTAGTTTTCCCAAAACGCCAGACTCCCACAGAATGAGGGCCAAACTCCTAGTAGTCAAAGCCCTTCATTATCTGCCCCCTACCTAGCTCCAAACTCTCTTCACAGGATCTATTTGAGTTTTTTACTGGGGTAAAGGAGAATGTCCTCCCTGTATAACACCATGACTTCTCACTACCCAGCCTTTGCTCACTCCAAGCCCTATTTATCCTTTAAAACACTGCTCTAACCTTACCTCCCATAATAAAGCCTTCCCCGATGACTGCAGCTATTCAGCACCATCTCTTCTTTTCATTTCACTATATGTACCATTCACAAAACACTTACTGGTTTCACCTTGCTGGCTTATATCCGTTGCTAGACTGAGCCCAAGAGGTCGACTCGAATTGATTAAATATTATGTTAACTCCCAGCCAGGCACTAAAGATATGAGACAGACTCAGGGTAACTTACAGACCTTGTCAGGCTTTAATAACCCAAATGTCTGTCCTCTGAAAGTAAAGAACACAGAAGACACCAGTAATGCTTGCTCAATGAGAAACACTTAAAGTCAATATAAACATGTCTTTCCATACATATCTTCTATTAACATGAAGTTGGAACTCGATAATATTTAAAAAAAAAAAAAACACACTCACATGAAGTTGGGTACCAAGCCAGGTTAACAGTCTTCACCAAGCAACCAAAGCTCTTATGAGACAAAGCACTAAGAACTTCTAGGTCTAGAAATGGTTGTTGTTGTTCGGTGCCATCTAGTAGGTTCCAACTCATAGACACCCTACATACAACAGAATGAAAAACACTGCCTGGTCCTGCGCCATCCTCTCAATCATCGTTATGCTTAAGGCCATTGTTGCAGCCACTATGTCAATCCATCTCATTTGAGAGTCTTTCTCTTTTTTGCTGACCCTCTACTTTACCAAGCATGATGTCCTTCTCCCTCCTGACACATGTCCAAAGTGTATGAGACGTAGTCTCGCCATCCTTGTTTCTAAGGAGCATTCTGGTTGTACTTCTTCCAAGACCGATTTGTTCGTTCTTTTGGCAGTCCATGGTATAGTCAATATTCTTCTCCAACACCACAATTCAAAGGTGTCAATTCTTCTTCGGTCTTCCTTATTCATCATCCACCTTTCGCATGCATACGAGGCAACTGAAAACACCATGGCTTGCATCAGGCGCACCATAGTCTTCAAGGTGACATCTTTGCTTTTCAACATTTTAAAGAGATCTTTTCCAGCAGATTTGCTCAATGCAGTGTGTCTTTTGATTTCCTGACTGCTGCTTCTATGGGTGTTGACTGTGCATCCAAGTAAAATGAAATCCTTGACAACTTCAATCTTTTCCCCGTTTATCATGAAGTTGCTAAAAATGGAGGATCAGGTAATTTGGACCCACCTACTGCCAAACTCCACTAAAAAGTGACTGAAATATAAAAGGAGAAGCCAGAGTGTTAAACCTAGCACTCAAAACTGCCTTTGCCGATCTGGAACAAATCCCTGGACGCCTGAAACTTTTAGAACTTTTAGAAGCAGACCAAGATGGACAAAAATCAACACCCAAGGCCAGCTAAAGGTGGGAATTTTTGACAAGCCTCACCAGACACCTTATGCTGGGACCCCAAAGGATTACACCTTCGGGATGAGGGTGAAACAAAAGTAAACCAGTCCTCCCGTGGACATGCCACCTGGTTGTGTGTCATCTAAATGATTTAGGGAACCTCCAGTCTTCAACTTGAATTAAGATGGTAGTTAAGGTTGGTAGCACAAACAGAAATCCTTTCTAGAGATGATACCATCATCTCTGTCCTCAGTTTACTACTACAAATAATTTTTCAAATATACTGTCCACACAGATAACCAGGAACATGAGAACAAAGACACTGTAAGCAACCATCAGTTAAAAACATCAGATAGTGACATAATTAGACAAAGTGTTAGGCCCTCCATACAATGAAGTGCTAATTAATTATTTGACAGTATGGTCCAAGAGTGGGCAGCTGGAGATTTTTTCCCTAGGTAAACCTATCCCTTTTCTTCCTAGAGGCATCCAGTCTTATCCAGTGTTCAATGTTTAACTACAGTCCAGAAGACTATCACACCTCTGAAGCTGTTTTCAACAAAGAATCTCCGGGGCTGCAGGAAAGTCTCTGTTCCTTATGAACAGTATTTTATAAACTACCTTTAAACTCATGCTATCTTTAGATAAACAAAATTCTCATATGCCTGCTTTTATACCTGAAATTTTAAAATTAAATATGCTTATAAGTCATTTCGAATCTTTCCCTCTGCCCCCCAAACAGTATGCTCCCTGTCCCATCCTTGAAATGCACTGCTCTAAAAAGTTGTTCATTAACTTTTTCCTTAAGATACTGTGTACCACTCAGTTTTCATTTATAAGCAGAGGATTTTTTCATATAGACTAGTGATTCAACCTGAGGTATAACTTCTCTGGGAATGACAAATTAGGGTAAGTGGTCCACCAATCCATGATAAATGCCATGTTTGCCCTTTTCAAATGTGTAGCATGTACATTAATGCTATAGTACAGAGGTCGGCAAACTTTTTCTGTAAAGGGCTTTCTCTGTGGCCCATACTGTCTGTCACACCTACTCAACTCTGGTGTTGCAGTGTGAAAGCAGCCACAGACAATACTGCAAATGAAAAGGTATGGCAGTGTTCCAGTAAAAATTTATAAAAATAGGCCACAGTTTACAGACCCCTGCTATAGTGAATAACAAAATGCAGGTTCACTGAAAAGCATTACTGCATTCATCTCTTGTTTATCTTTTGTTTTCTTAGTCAGACATTTAAAGGTACAGATTCTAATAAGAGAATATAAGACTTTGAGGTTAACAAGGGGCTTCTCATATTGGAAAAGGTTGAGAATCACTGCTGTAGACAGGAAGGTTTTTTGGTCTTCAGACCAAAAAAAGGAAACCTATAACATTTTAAAATGTATATTCTATGTATGCCCCAAGTTGTGCGAAATACTTTCTTTACATGTATTATATTTCATTTAGCCTTCACATTCAAAAACAAAACCCAATAATGTACATCCATTAGCCCCCATTTTACAGCTAAGGAAACTGGCCCAGAAAGTTCAGTAACTTGGTGCAAAGCTCACACAGCAAATTATAGACAGAGCAGAAACTAAACTCCAGTGCTCTGGAACACCCAAAGCTCATTCCTTAACTACAACACTAGACAACCATCCTCCAAGACAGACAGAGAAGATTCACAATGTATGGAAGGTTAGCCCAAATCCTTGCATTCTCTGATGTTCTTCTTCCCCTTCTTGAGCTTTACCAATTATCACTGCCTCCAAAGTTTTGATCTCTTTACTACTCTGATCTAGGCATAGACTTACTCCTTTTATTTCCCTTAAGCTCAAGACTTTACTAAAAGAGGATAACAAAGGAAATCAAAACAGAGGGCTTTTGAATTAGCTCACCAGACACTGCCATTCTGAGATCATCTAGGCCTTGATCTATTGCCAAGGGGTAAAGACATTTTCCTACCTGGGAGGGACCCTAAGATTAAGCCCTAGAAATTGAGGTCTAGGGAAAAATTCCTTCTTTTGCCAGTCTAAGGCCTATCTTCCAGGTCCCCATTTTCTGTCCTAGGAAATTAAACAAATGTCTAGTCCCTTTAGAGGAGATCCCAACCCCTAGCCATGGTAGTATGCTTACTTACCCTGTGGTCCCATATCATAATATAACAACCCAACAATTCTGGGTGTGGTGAGAGGGTGTCATTTTCCTTATAGAAACCTACTCTCCTTCTAGCCAGAAGCCATTTTGTAGGAATGGGGATGACACCTGCAGTAGTGAGTGAGCACATCACAGATTCTATTTCAAGGAGACCTCAGTGAGGCAGTGTTCCCCACTCTCGGTCCAGCCTGCAAGACTTCTGATGGTTCCCACAGCTGCCCTTCCCTTGTTTTGGTGTGATTATCCCTCTGCACTGCTATGTTCCTCTTCCAGGAACAAGTGACTACCCTGGAAAAAGAAGAGATGAAATGAATTGCCCTTCAAATATGAAGTAAAAGCATTCTTTAATTATTAAAAGATCACTGCTGGGCTTTAAAAAGGTCTGTAAATCTTCAATGTAATGATGAACTGAGGAAATGATTATAGCAGCCTCATGTAAATTACTTGAATAAACATTATCACTGTAGTAAAAAGGCAAGGTAAACAAATAGCTTAAGTATTTTATTTGTTTGCAACTAAGCTTGTTAACACTATATAATGAAAATGTACAAATAATAATGTTGCAGTTTTTGGTTAGATTTAAGTCAAAGACATTCATTAATAAGGAATCTTCGAATGTGAATATTCCAGAAATTTCTCTAAGCCATCTGATCAGAACAACTGTCTCTGAATATTACCTTTGGAAGGTATTGGCATACATTTGAATTACGTAAACTCAGAATTTTCAAAATAAGTCCTAATTAAAAAAACTATTCTATATTCAAAACTAAAACAATTTTAATAGAACTTTCCTTTCCAGAAACAATAATAACTGAAACAAGGCATTTTGTAAAATGTGGTCCTGAACAAGTCACAGTAAAAAATAAATGTATACATAACTTCCACCTCCTCAAAACAGAGGCTACTTTCTGTTCCTCAGCCTTGAACACAAGGTGAAGAACAGCCTGTAAGCAACTTCGGGCAGGGGGTTGCCAAAACAAAGCTCAAGCAGTTGAACATGGACACCTCTGAAAAGAATTTGAGGGAACCTGACCAAAGGATCCAAATTCTATTTGTAATGACTGATACAAAGGTGAAGTGGCTCCTCCCAAGTAGCAGTGCTTCTGGGGCCTGGCCCAGTCCTGTGCTCACCTATTGCTATGCTCCCGAGCAAACCTGGATGTTCTTGCTCCTGGGGAGATCTTTTTCCCTTGGAGGTTCAGTGTCCAGGGAGCGCTCTGATTGTGTGAATGAGGTGAGCGCAGACTCCATATGGGTATTTTAAGGCTTGGAGTCAAAGTATTTTTCTAACACAGCTAGGCAAAGTCCATGTGTCAAATGGCCCGTCTCCAGTTCTAATGCCTCACCACATGTTTGCAGACCTAGGACTGCAGACCTTCGCAATGTCATCATGATCACATCTAATGTCCATACTAACTTATGATTCATATTCTGTGCCTGGAAACAGTCCCTGTATTTAACAATACCTATACATAAAACAATCCACTATTACAACTTATATGGTCACAAAACATTAATGATCTTCTGTAGACCAAGCAAATGTTTTTAACCATAATTGTCGTGCATCAAATTCACAGCCAGAATCCCCAAGATCAAAAAATTTGCAAAATACAAATAATAACTTAAAATACACACACACATATACACATTCTCACACACACTTCTTACAGAACTGTGCTTGGGGAAACTCCTTTGTTGAGTGCCACTGAAGGCATATTTTGCTAAACTGCTGTTCCAGGTATTTTGTTTGGAAAATCTATCACAGTAGGGCACAGCTGTTTATTGGATGAGCAGAAAAGAAAGATATGCTTGTGGCAAACAGAAAGTCTGAAGGTCTTTCAAGTTGTATAAAAATGGACCTGCAGAAACGTTTAAGTGTTCTCGGGATGCAAAGTTGGAGCTGAAATGTGATATCAAACCAGTTGCAAAAAGTGTACAGCAGCCATCTCTTGAGGTTAAACCTGGTACCCAGATATGCAAGAAAGCCTCAGGACACATCTATAAAGAATTAGGAAAAAAAAAGAGGGTGAGAATACTAAAAAATGTAATGTCGCTCTTTTTATATTAACTAATGGTTAGTTGACTGACTTATGGCACACAATTAAACAGCACGGAGGATTACGAGTCACTACCATAAAGGTATTAAATCTCAAGAATTTATGAAACCCGACCCAGGTTCACAATTTTGATATATTGCTATTTACAATTTATGCTTTGAGTAACTGGTAGTTGCAAGATGTTTAGAATCAAGAAATCTTGATCATGTACCTGATAAACTACCTTAAGAAATCAAAACCAAAACCAAAAAATCATACATAGCCATCGAGTCGATTCTGACTTATAGCGACCCTATAGGACGTAAAACCATCCCACAGGGCTTCCAAGGAACAACTGGTAGATTTGAACTGCTGACCTTTTGGTTAGCAGCTGAGCTTTCAACCACTGCACCACCAGGGCTCCGCTTAAGAAATCAACTTCTGTAAATTAACTACTGGAACTACCTTTCCAGAGAAAAAGCAGGTAACAAAGAGTCAGACTACCTAGGTTTTAATCCTAGGTGAACCACTAGCTATATGAGCTCGGGCAAATTTTCAGTGCTATCCTTACCTGCAAAATGGGGCTAATAACAGTTCTGCCTCCCTCATAGGGTTAACTATAAAGATTAAATAAACTTTGATGAAGACTGAAAGGGCTTCTTAGCACACTGCCAGACACACACATATGCTTTAAATGTTAGCTCTTCTTTTACTTCATAGAGGCCTTTTGCTCTTAGCAGACAGGATACTCAGTGTCAAAATCTTGCTCTCGGAACTTAGAAAATTCCAAGAAAAACTTGGCAATACTTACAGCTTGTTGGCCTTGTCCCGTATCGTCGCATAATCTGATCATGTGTGAATTTCACAAAAGATTCATATTGTTCTGTGAGGGGAAAGACAGTATATACTATCCACAGAAAGTCTCTCCAATTTTTCAGAACCAAGTGTCAGGGTCACATCTAGCTTCCCCGCTTGAATTCTCTACCCTCTCAGACCCTCATTATAAAGGTTACTCTGAGATCTGTTTCTTTCTCTTAGATCCCTGAGTAAAATTCCTAGCTCCTAGATTTGGTCACTGATCATCTATAACATCCTCCTAATAACCTCTCCTCTGTCTTAACTCCACTCCTTACAAATGGCCTCCCAAGACAGACACATATACTCTCTACTATAGGCTGACAAACAGGAGCAAATCACCTGTGGGATCTGAAGCTTTGAGGCTCTTTTCTGAGCGTCTTTGTTAACAAATTTCAACACACACAGAGTAAAAAACATGGGTGGAAGAGGTAGAATGGCCTGAAAGCTAAATGAAAATTTTATACCATTAATTGTATAAAGTTCCACAGAAGAAATGCCTTCTAAAGGAAAACTCAGTAGAAAGGTAGGAGTTAGCCTGATAATTTAAGTGACCAGAGAAGTAACTTAGAGCCAGCTGGTCTGAACAATTTTGAGGTGGAAGAAGGGAGTGATAAATTAGAGCTTCTTCTTGTAATATACACTATTAGTACACTAAAGGTCCAAAAAAGGTCTATTGTAAATAAACCTCTTTAAACCAACAGTTTCAAATTTTAAATAAATGTGTTAACATTCTGAAGAACCATGTTGTAGGGGTCACTAGATCAGGAAACAATACTGTTACAGGAAGAAGTGGTTGCCTAAAGTCTCTCTGATCACAACACGGCCCTCTTTAACTAAACAGGTATTACTTTACATTCCTGATTTAGAGCCCTTCCTTTCATATAAGGCTTTACTTGTTAACATCACTAATCATGCCCTTTGTTCTAGCCTGAGCTAGGCTTTCCTTGCTTTACTCTATTGTACCTCCAGATTCACAGGATGCTTGACCTCCCACATCCACAAACTGACTCCCACCAGAAGTTTGAATATATTGACTCCATTCCTCCTAGCCATCTGTCAGGAGGTTAGCACCACCCCAGCCACCTGTTTACCCACCAGCTGGCCCAAATGACCCATTGAATGCCTTTATTCATATGGAGAATTCTTGCAAGAAAAGCTTGGTTTATCTTGTTCCAGAAATGCAAATGAAATTTCTTCCATGAAATGTATCAATGAAATGTTTACCATCACCAAAAACAGCACCTTCAATATTCACTATTTATCAAGCCCTCCTGCATGAAAAGCCCTACTCTTTTTCTATGTTATCATTTATTTAACTGGGATTAATCCTTAATGAATGCTATTAACAACAGCATAGCCACTGCCTTGTCCTACCTGCTAGTTTGGTATTGAGGATTTGCTCATACTCCTCCCGAATTTTATCTTCATAGTCTTTTAAGAGACGCTCACATATAATTCCAACTTGTCGGAGGGTAAAGGTGGGCTGGTCCTTCTTCATCCAGGAAGAACCTAGCCAAAAGATTAGTTTACATGATACATTCCAGTACTATGGTCAGAATTAACAACTTTATGCAAACATTCCTCAGAATATAAAAACTATTTAGAAAAATATTTTTCACTACTTCACATGGAATACTTGCACAAAATTCTATTTCTACTATTTGTTTTACAAAGCCAAGTCAAAGGTAAATTGAGAAATGGGAAGAATAAGGTGTATCCAGGTGTGCTACTAGCTGACCTGCATTACAGAAAAATAGTTCTGATATCATAATAACCTGGGCCCATACTCAATGCTCATTTGGTAAAGGATAAGAATAAAAAGTTTAAAGCAGATATATAAAGCATTCTGGATTACAAAAAGTATATTCACAGCGTATGTGAGCTACTCAGACCTTTGGAGATCATCTAGAACTGTGTTTAATCAAGGAGGTGCATCATAATTATCTGTAGAATTAAAAAAAAGAAGAAAAAAAAAAACAAAAAAAAAACAGATACCCATTCTGATTTAAATTCTGAAGTAGGGCTGGGCAATCTTTTAAGCTCCACAGATGATTCCGATAAGAAGTGGGGAATATGAAGCTCAAGAGACCAACAACGTGTCCAATATAAAAAAAAACTGTCAGCAAAGTTATTAACGCTTAAGGTAATCAAATTAATGTTCAGGCACATTCACAAGGAAATTTCTTTTGGAAGTATGAAAGAAAGATTTTAGCCACCACACATCTCATCCTTGATCCCTTCTGAATCTAGATTGGCAAGAGTGAAATATTCATAAAGTAGTAAGTTAGAAACCAAACTATTCATTGGATGCTAGAAAACAGGGAAACCTAACATGAAAATCATAACTTACAAGGTGGACACTGCAGATTGCCTTGCCTAAACACCTATTCCAACCTCCTTCTAGTGCCCTTTCCCAAGAGTCTGAAAAAATTCAAAACTACTTTTTCAGATTCCTTTGTAGATGTGATTGGATTCTGCTGATCAGATCTACTCATGAAAGACCTGATTCAGAACTGAGACAAGGGGGGAACAAGGCATCAGGCATCTATTCTGGTGGTGAGGCTAAAGGAGCGGCAGCTTGGTTCTGGAGCAGGCAACTGGAGTAACGGTTTCCACAGGTGGCTTCCTGATCAAAAGAGCAGCAGCTCTCTTGGTAGCCCAGTTCGGAGGTGAATCTGTTTCTTCGGCCCTCTTAATCTGTAAGCTGTTAACACCCTGAAATAAATCAAGTCCTACTGAAACGAGTAAAATTTTTTTCTCTACAAATGAAATCTGACCAGAACATCTGACTAGTCATTACCTGTAACTGTTTCTCTACTTGTAACATACTCAATTACTTCCAAAATTATATTACTAAAATTTCAAGAGAAGATTAAGGAGAGATTCGTTAGCTCTAAGTATTGAAAGATCTATCAGTCATTTATGTACAAATGAGTAATTAGAAAGAGTGTTGTCCAAGAGCCAGGACCTTCAGGTTATAAAGAGACAATCTTGAATCAAGGTAAACAACTTTTAGCCCTCAGAACTATTAAAAAGTAGAATACTTTGTGAGGAAACAAACACTGGAGATGTTTGAGCACTGGCCTATTGACTATTTGACAAGGATATGTAAGGCAAGACTGGTGGCTGAATTACCGGACCAAGAAGATTCCCTCCAATCCTGAGATTCTACTTTTGAGCACATTCTCTCTGACCAACTGTCAATGAAGTTATAGAGCAATGCTGGCCAACTAAACTTTCTGCAATGATGGAAATGTTCTATATTTGCACTGTCCAGTATGAGAACCCCACGTGGCTACTGAACACTTGAAACGTGGATACTGTGACTGAGGAACTGAATTTTAAATTTTATTTGCTTTTAAGTAACTTAAATAGCCACATGTGGCTAGTGACTACAGTATTAAAACAATGCAGTTAGTTATAGAGGGTACTCTTGCACTGGGTAGGTGAAGTCCAGCCAAATCAATAAGGTCTTTTCCAATTTTAACTCTATGGTTTTAAAAGTATTCATAACTAGTAATATAATGCACGTCGTCGTTAGGCGCTGTCGAGTTGGTTCTGACTCATAGTGACCCTGCGTACAACAAATCAAAACACTCCCCGGTCCTGTGCCATCCTCACAATCATTGCTATGCTTGAGCCCACTGTTGCAGCCACTGCGTCAATCCATCTCATTGAGGGTCTTCCTCTTTTTTGCTGAACCTCTATTTTACCAAGCATGATGTTCTTCTCCAGTGCCTGGTCCCTCCTGATAACATGGCCAAAGTATGTGAGACAAAGTCTTGTCATCCTCGTTTCTAAAGAGCATTCTGGCTGTACTTCTCCAAAGACAGATTTGTTTGTTCTTCTGGCAGGCCGTGGTTATATTCAATATTCTTCACCAGCACCATAATTCAAAATACATCAATTCGTCTTCAGTCTTCTTTATTCATTAGCCAGCTTTCACATGCATATGAGTCGACTGAAAGTACCATGGCTTGGGTCAGGAGCACCTTAGTCCTCAAAGTGACATCTCTGCTTTTCAACACTTTAAAGAGATCTTTTGTAGTATACACTTTACCAATTTTATTACTTTAGACGAGATCAATTCTAGATTAGGACATCATTATTAAGTACCATTTACAAACTCTTAAAAGGATTCTGCACACCAAAGCATGCTTACCTGGAGAACTAGGTGCTGTGAGCGCTGACGAGTGAGGCTGACTTTCCGAAGTACAAGCTTCACTCTGATTAAGAACAACTTCTAAATGTCTCCACCTCTGATAACGACTATATTCTTGTTTTATGTTCTGGAAAATTTGCTCTAATAAAAAAGAAATAAACTTATTGTCATTTCTTCAAACGTTCTTCAGAAGTGGGAGGAGACAAGGGAAGTCTTTTGACTAGATTTCAGATTCTCCCTCTAACATGCAGGTCTCAATCTTCTTCCTCCTCTCAGTTATAAATATTAACAAAAAAATGTTTATTCTGTACAAAACACTCCTCTACAGTTCCAAAGACAGTGTGCTCTCTTATTGCCTCTATTTCAACAATGCAGAGAACAGAAGCTATTTTGGCATAGGCCATCCAGATAGTTACTTCATTTGTTTTCCTGTGGCAATGAAGACTAGATCTGCCATTTGCTGGATGATTAAACAGTACACCTTACAGCAAAAGAAACTGCCCTTTACCTAACAGGGAGCTACTTTTGATCTCCTTTAAGTTTTACAATTTCATAAATTGGGGTATTAAGGGGTCAGTTTCTTACCCTCCCCCCACAAAGGCAGGGACGGATTACCCAATAAGCAAGGTATGCACGGGTTTACTTGTGTCTACTTAACTAATCGGTAGTGCACAATTTCACATGGGTTTTTACCATATGTATCTTGCTTAATGTAAGCCCATGCTTACCTTGCTTACTGGTTAATCTGCCCCTTCACAGGCCTTCTGATAATGAAGCTGTTTTCCCTTCTGAGACTCTTATGACTTTGGGGGAAGAGACAGCAAGGACCATTATGTTTACCACCTGGACGTTGACCAGGGGAAGAGCTGTGATTTACTACTTGGAACTGATGGTCCAAGCTTAGAAAAAAGAATTTTCTGATCCTACAAGAGACAGTATTTGGTAGGATTCAGATGCTAAGATTGTTTAAAGCGAGTCAAGGACACACAAATCACTAACCACACCTTGAGTATACTCCTAGATAGAACACAGAATCTGGAAGGATGAGGTTTTCAAATTTTTCATTTTTATGGTATAATTTATATTCACTTTGCAGATAATAAAGCCTCCTTATAAAAAATAAAAACCAGAAAATTATATCACCCCAAAATCACATTATTCTTTGTTATAACCCTATTTTTAGAATGGGGGAGGTATTAATAATGCCACTTTGCTACTTACTAGCTGTATGACTATGACCTTGGGAAGTCATTCAGGATCTTTAGCTTAGCTCTTCAATATAAATGTTAAATGTCTATCTAATAAAAAGTTGTAAGTATCAAAATCAAAGATACTAAAATTGACTTAAGAAGGGAAGTACAGCTAAGGAACTGCCAGGAACTCAAAGTAGCTCCACATATATGTAAACTCAGTAATTCTCAGCCTAAATACTGGAACAACGGAGGATTAGAAAATTTTCCTTTAAGAGTGCTATGAAGTCCATATTTTAGATCCCTGAATTTATGAAGTCTTCACTTCATCTTTAAAATGTATTATTCCCCAAGCAAATACTTGCCAGATTGAATACGAAGATGTAAGGAATTGCAAAGACTTAAAACAAGAAGGGACAAGTACAATACTCACGAGAACAGAAGGTCTTTGAGAAACCTCTAACTGCCTCCTGTGTGGCTAAGTGAACAGATAGAAAGATACAACTTTGGGGCTGGCAGAAGGACTAGTAAGTACAAGAATCTAAACACGGCATCCACAAGAGAAAAACAAGGAAGTAGACCTGATTTTCTTCCCAAGAAGGCCACATAAACAGAAAACTGCATTTTTTTAACAAAGAAAAATGCAAATTTCTTTTTAATTTAACAATGGGCAATAATTTTAATCCTTGCCTGTTACTTGAGGCTGTACTTCCAGGTCATGTCTGGCTAAACCTAGCCTTCAAAACTACACAACACCACTGGCTGCTATAGACCAAAATTCAAACTCTTGAACATGGCTTCAGTGACTTTGAAAACATGGCCCTGAATTGTTGTTCCAGTTCCATCTCCCACTATAACCCAGTTTCCTTAAACTATTCCTTCCTTAATTTTTGGGTTTTCTAGCCTTTTTTCAAGCAATTTTCTTTTGCCCGAAATGGGGCTGTGCCTCTTGCTCCACATTATTCAAGACCTAGCTACCTCAATCTGAGAGTTTTCCCCAACCCCCAAATCTGGATCAATTGCTTTGCATTTAGACTCACTTCACATTTAAATACCTCCCAGAGGTCAGCAACATCCTTTATGCGTAGAATCCACCTAGCACTCAATTAAAATTTAGGTGATAAAATGCTTAATTTTATAGGCCTTTTCCACCAAAAGTGTTATATTACACATCATCTTTTTTTTTTTTTTAAGTGAAGTAAAAACATATCTTCTCCATCATTCGGAAAGAATATTACAAGCCTAAGATACTATAAAATGAACTCAATGATTTTTTAATTCGCTTTTCCTTTAGTTAGCTTTATTCTTCCTAGTTATATAGCAACTAACACCCCCCTCCACTCCCACTGACTCTTCTTTTTTAATACAAAGATGTCTGGCACCTTTCACTTAAGCCAAAGCATCAAATAATAAATCATTAATACTTTATACTTCCTTCATGACAGAACTATACTCCAATAGGCATTAAGGAATATACTAATCAACCTTTACAAATAAACAGTACTTTATTTTAAATAAAATATTTTAACACAAAATGAGCAAGAGACTAGCTTGCATAAATCTATGTAAAAATTAAATTTTAAGATTTAAAAAAATAGTGACTTGATTTATAGCACTTTGCCATATTCAGGCTTCCAAATCCATTCAACAATAATTTTTTAAGCATTTGTTGTAATCTGAACTACAGTAGACTGAATCTAAGAGGATAGTACTGGAAGAAATGACATTTACATAAAACTCATCATTTTATATTTTTCAAAATGCTTTTTGCAGATATCTCAGTTGGTCCTCAACAATAGGTAGGGCAACTATTAATCACATTTTGCAGAAAAGAGATCCAGAAAGATCATGTGACTATCCTTGGGTATTTGTAGGAGCCCTAGAAAAAATAAACCATCATTGCAAGTGGATACCTATGCCCCCTACTCTTGAAGGGCTCTTTACAAAGAACTTTCTCAAATGTTATTTCATTCTGTACATAATGCACATAAGGCCATACAACATTAAAGGATCAGGTAATTTTTTTAAAGTAGAGCAGAGATCCTTCTGAGACAGGGTTAGTCAGGTAATGGGTGGGGACTTGAAGAAGTGACTATTTGGACTAGCAGAGAGACGGGTAAAAACATCACCATGGAAGGGAAGGATATAAACACAAGGTGGGTCTGGCGGAAAGAGCAGAGAAATAGTTTGAGAAAATAGTTAAGACTGACTAGGTAAGACAGGATTATAGTTGAGAAACCTTTTGAACACCACGATAAAGAAAAGGTGAACATGAGTAAGGATAGACCAGTTTAGCAGGCAAATGCTGGCAACTTGTGTGAGAGATGAGGGCCTGAAATCAGCACCGTGGATATAAAGAGGAAAAAGGAAATAAACCCTGAAGACGTCAGTAATTGAAAGAGGTGAGGAAAAATGATTTTTAAGGCGATGCCAAGGTTTTGCTTATGCTTGACAAAGAGGGGAGGGGGAAGCTACAAAGAAACGACTTCCCAAAGCCCTTTACAATGACTAAATATTAATGCTGATGCACTTTCCTCTGTACTCTGCTCTACGATTAAGTTTCTTTGCTTTATTGTCACATCAGCGCTTCCTTTTTCTTGGCCAATGTGGAATCCCTTATTGAGAAAGCGTCCCTCTGTTATCGACAGATAAACTCCTGCTTTCAGAGCCTCTGTATACTGAAGGAGTCTCAACTTATAGGAAACGACCTACCGATTTCAAGCCAGATACTGTACAAGACAATGGCCATACATTAAAAAAACAAAACAAAACAGGATCAGTCTCTTCGAAATGAAATGGTCAGGTAGAGATCGGATTCTGTGACTCCCGCGGCGGCCTCTGGAAATCAGGTCTCCCCACAAGCTACAATACAGAGCTGAACTGCACTCTTACGCCCCTTCCTAGTAATCCGCCCCCTCCCCCTCCCCCTCCCCAAGGCCTGGTTCGTGAATGGAATCCAATTTTCCATGGCCCACTGGATCTACAAGGCGGCTCAGTGCAGGCCCGGGCAGCGGAGGCGGGGGGTAGGGGGGCTTTGCGGACGGGGAGGTCCTGGGCAGCCAGGGATATTCCCATCTTCCCCTTGGGGCCCAGCCCTCTAGGCTCTCCAGCTCCAGGAAGAGCGAAAACCGACCCACTGTGTCTCCACTACTCCTCCCGGATATCTCCTACCCCCGGAAGCGGCACCCCAGTTCCCTTTTCTCAAGGCGAAGAAAGGGTACGAGGGTTAATTGGCCTAGCGTCCACTCTCCCCTCCCCCCCCAAAAAAAGCTTGGGCCTGGCCTCCTGCCAAGCCCGCAGCGTGGGTTACCGGGAGTTGGAAGGCGCCGCTCGCTGCCGGGCGGGGTGGACTGCTGCAGAGTCGGCGGTGGGGTCTGCGTCTGAAACAGCGGCGGTGGCGGCTCGGCGTCCGGGGGCCTGAGGCCCGGAGTGGAGCCGGGCAGAGGGGCGCAGCGCCGCCGCTTCGGGGAGCCGGGGCTCAGCAGCGCCGCCTCGAACTCCATGGGCCGCTTCAACGTCGCCCCGCACGCCATGCCGCTTAAGGGCCAAAAACCAGGGGCGGACTTGGCGGTAACTGGGGCCCGACCTCCGCCTCCTCAGCCGGGCTCGAAAGCCAAGCCGGCTCCAATGGCGCCTCTAGCACCCGGCAGCGGCGCTGGCCCCGCCTCCTGTGACATCACGGGCCCTCGCCACCGCCCGGCACAGGGGGGGAAGCCGGAAGAGGGCCGCTCTGGGAAGTCCGTCAGCAACACTGTGGCACGCGGTACCACCTGCTGAGGAAGTGGAACGGTCTGGGCGGAGAGCGTGGTCACCAAGCAACATTGGGAAGGTCCCCACCCCCGCCTCCGTCCCTCCTAGGGTCCCATCCCCCTCTCCTGAGCCGTCGCGCCCGGGTGGCCCCTTAGGTTTTCGCACCTGCGCGGCACGGGCGTGGGGGAGGGAAGAGTCTGGAGGAGCCTGGTGACAAGCCGTGGGGGTTCGGGAGTCTCCCGGTCCCTAAACCTCCTTCAAGGCCGTTTTTGGCCCCACGATGAAAAAGAGGGTGACTCTAAAAGGTCATCCACGGAAGTCGTCACTTAACCGGAGATCCGAGGATGGGCTTTAGGAAGTCTATGAACCGCATAAAACCGTGTACAAAATAATGCGTGTTTGTGGGTGTATTTTTGGGATAGACGACCCATACTTTTATCAGCTTCTCAAAGGGATCTGTTAGCCCAAAAAGTTAAAAAAACAAAAACCTTACATTGGCTTAAACCATTCAAAAATGCTGCCTGAGTGTTAAGAACGTCAGCTGATGGCTGATGTGTCAGTCTCCCTGCCTAACCCGGCAGCTCAGGTTTTTCCTCAGGTCTATCCGAATTCTAGCAGTGCTGGCTGTAAAATGCTTTTGATGCTCCGGAAAGATAAATAAATGACGGGAAACTGTACTGTGTTTTACTGGGGAGCAGGTCCAACAATCGACCATCAAAGGGATCTGTGATCCAAAAAGATTAAACTCCTATAACTATTCTTACATATTAAATAGAGACCATACCTTCTGGGATCTGTCTTTTTCAGCATATCTTTGGGATTTGTCAGAACAGTTCCAAGTTTCAGATACTGTCTTGTAATAGACCATATGCCAGATCAACGTCCCACCATATTTGAGTTGGAGAATATGAGCATAATATTTCAGTCCCGTCCTTTGTCCCTTTTCTGTTGCTTTTCTCTGGGTCCTCTCCAGTTTCTCCAAATTCTTTAAAGAATTCTTTAAAACACAGGTCATGTATTTTTGCATTTATCTGACAAATAGCATAAAAAATTCTAAAACAACTGAGCATATCAAATGTTAAATTTTATTTTATCCTGTCTCTTCATAATGATATCAAGAAGGTTTACAATGGCCTAGAAAACTAGAAATAGAACATTAGGACCAGAGACAAAGATCACAATTATCCTGGAGTTATATATGACTGTGACTGAATTTGAAAATTAGTTCTGAGCTACCTGGCTGCCAGGGCAAAAAATGAAAACATAATATGTGGAATAGATCTTGTTATTTGAAAGGAACCAGTTCATCAAAGGCAACAGACTATAGTTTTTTTTTTTTCTTTTTCATAACACTAATTCTAAAGGTAGTTTCTCAGTGACCTTGTTAGAGAAGAGTGAGTGATGTAATAAATCAACTAAGAAAATTTAAACAATGAATACAAAAGTAAAATTCATATGGATATTTCTTTTGTCCAATAAAAGCCAAGGACATAAAAATGTAAAAAGCAACCTACTGATGGTCAGTCTTTGACAGATGTGTCTAATGTGGTCCAGGTAAACTGCTTTCTTATAGTCTAAACTGGTCCATAGTTAGAGTGTAGAGGGTTTGCAAAGTGTGTCCCTTGGGCAGTCATCTCTAAATCGCACTTCTAGCTATGGCTTTGCTGAGTGCTTTGATGGTTATTCTGTTCTCTGTGACCCTTTAAAATCTTGAGTGTGCCTTGAAATATTAGTGTTTTAAAAGCAGAAGTTATAATTTATTTATTGACATATCTGGCTGTGCTTCAAAACCATAAATTCCTTGAGAATAATAACCAGGCCTCATTCATCTGTGTTTCCCCATCCCCAGCACAGTGCCTGGAATAGAGTAGGGATAGGCACAGAATAAATATTGGTAGAATGAATAAATGGTAATTATTTCAAGGTTGTTTTCTCTGTTCCTGAAAGCTGATAGTCCACATTACTGAATGAGGGTGGATTTAGATGATTCAGAAACCAAACAAGTAGGTGGTATATCCTATTATACATTGCAGTTGACAGTGGCTCAACGACAGAGAGATCCTTGAGGGAGGCAGATGGGTGGCTCTGACAGGACCACTCGGTGTAGTGTCGATTTATGAGGTCACCACAGTCCAGGGCTGGTCTCTGATTTTGCTTTGCAGTTCCCAACACTTAACCATTCATACACACACACACACACACACGTGCGTGCATGCGCACGCACGCACACACACACACACACATTATTGAGTACCTTTTATGTGTCAGGTACTATGCTATCACAGTTGAGGATACTGTGTTATGAAAAGAGGCATAGCTCCTGCCCTCCTGTGTCTTCCAGTCTGTTAAGCAGACAGACATTAATAAAATAATCACAACAACAAATATATAATTACAAACTGTGACAAGTATCATGAAGGAAAAGGACAGGGTATTATGAAAGAGTACAACTGAGGTCTTAACCTTTCCGTAGAACTATGAAGGCTTCCCTGAAGAAGCGACATTTGAGCTAAGAGCTGACAAATAGGTAAGAGTTAACTGAGCAGAGATGGTGGGAACATCCTAAGCAGAGGGCACAGCATATATAAATGCCTGTGATAGAAGAAGGGCCCTGATGGTACAGTGGTTAAACGTTAGGCTGCTAACCAAAGGGCAGCAGTTTGAATCCACCAGGTGCTCCCTGGAAATCCTATGGGGCAGTTCTACTCTGTCCTATGGTGTCGTTATGAGTTGGAATTGACTTGACGCAATGGGCTTGGTTTTTTGATTTTTGGTGATAGAAGAGACCATAGTGTATTTGAGGAATGAAAAGACATTCCAAGTGACTGGGGTATAGAACACAAATGGGGAGAGTCTGGTGAGGAAGGCAGGGACCCCATCACTTAGTACACTGTTGGCTGCCGTAAAACTTTTTACCATTATCTTAAGAGCAGTGGGAAGAATCTTCAGGGTTTAAGGTGGTGCTAAATAGTTTAAATATAATCAGATTTATATTTGAAAAAATTCCTGGCTGCAGTAAAGAGAACAGGTTGGAGGAGAGGAGGTAGATGGAGATCAGTAAAGAGGTTCATCTGTCCAGAGTTGCCTCCCCAGTGGGCCTGGAAGGCAGAGCTTGAAGCCCAGGGCCGAGAGGCCTCCCCCTAGAATTCAGAGGGCACGGCCAACACCCAGAGTCTGGAGGGCAGGGCCATTGCCAGATGGTCTCAGAGAACAGAGGATTATTTTCAAGCCTTTAGAGCTAATGAAATTTGTTCTGCTGGGTTTTGGATTTGCTTGGTGCCTGTTATCCCTTCTTTCCCTTCAATTTCTCCCATTTGTAATGGAAAACTCTACCTTGTGCCTGTTCTACCATTGTACTCTGGAAGCAGATAACTTGTATTCTAGATTTTACAGGTTCACAGATGAAGAGGAATTTTGCAGCAGGATGGAATAAGCCTAAAGTCTCACCTATATTTGATTTAGATACTTCAGAAGATGAGATTTTGGACCTGGAGTTGATTTAAGACTTTTGAGATGATGTGATGGGGTGAATGTGTTTTGCATGTGGCAAGGACATGAATTTTTTGGGACCAAAGGGTAGAATGTTATGGACTGAATTATGTGCCCCTAAAATATGTGTTGTAAATCCTAACCTCTATGTCTGTAGTTATAATCCCGTTTGGGAATGGGTTGTCTTTGTTATGGTAATGAGGCAGGATTAGTGTAGGGTGTATCTTAAGTCAATCTCTTTTGAGATATAAAAGAGATTAAACAAGCAAGCAAGAAGCAGAGATAGGGGAAGAGATGCCAAGCCACGTGAAGATTGCCTAGGAGCAGAAGTTTAGAAGAGACAAGGACCTTCCTCCATAGCTGACAGAGAAAGAAAGCCTTCTTCTAGAGCCAGCGCCCTGAAGTCGGACTTCTAGCCTCTTAAATTGTAAGAAAATAAATTTCTGTTTGTTAAAGCCACTCATTCGTGGTATTTCTGTTATAGCAGCACTAGATAACTAAGACAGGGATCAAAGAGGAAATAAAAACTGAAATTGTAAACTACCTAGAAAGCAATGAAAGACAGAACACTTCAAATTAAAACCTATAGAACACAGCAAAAACTGTATTCAGAGGAAGTGTTATAGCCTTAATGCCTTTATTGTTAAAAAAGAAATATTAAAAAAAACGTGAACTTAAAATTCATCTTAAGAAGTTAGAAAAAAGCAAACTAAAAGAAGTACGAATAGATTAATTAAAAAGATAAAGCTGAAATTAATAAAATAGTATACAAAAAATAGTAAAAAAAGACTAAATCCTAAAACTGGTTTGCAGAAAAAGATAATAAAATAAACTCTTTAAAAGCTCACTAACAAAAAGAGCGACCAAAAAAAAAAAAAAAGATTAAAAATAAGAAAGGAGACATAATCATAGATACAAAAGAGATTAAAGAATTACAAGTCAATAATACTCCTTGCAACTTGATGGCAACACATTTAAAAAGTTAGCAGACATGGGTAATTTCCAATTAGATTATAAATTATTCAAATTAATCAAAAAAAGAAGAGAAAACTATAAATATGGCAATCATTATAAAAGAGATTTGAAAGGTGATTAAAGAGCTACCACAAAAAAAGGAAAAAATCAGGTGATTTTCCAACTAGGTTCCACTCAATCTTGAAAGAACACACAATTCTACTGTTATTTGATCAACTAGTCCAACTAAAATTTGGAAAGCCTCTCAATTTATTTTATTGGGTAGAAGCTGACATAATTTTAAAACCAAACCCTTAAAAAGATAGTGCCAAAAAGAACTATAGGCCAATTTTACTAATGAATAGATGCAAATATTACAATAAACTGTGTATTAGCAAATCGCACCCAACAACATATCAAAAGAGTAGCACACTGTAACGAAGTTGAGTTATACCAA